CTCTGCTTTCAGCCACTATCCATCTAACAGTAGCTATAATATCTCTAGTACCACAGCTTCTTCTAAACCCAGCCTGCACATCTGGCAGTTCTCTGTTTATGTGCTTGCTGTTCTAGCAGTTTTGGGATAATTTTCAGCAGAATCTTGCTTACATGTGATATTAATGATATTGTTCGATAATTTCTGCACTCTGTTGGGTTAACCATCCAAAACCAGACTCTTGTGAACGTATCACAAATACACAACGCCCCCTCCAAGGGCTGCTCCTTCCTGGCCCCGTGCCCAAAGTATGTCATATGGAGCTTCAAGATCCTCGCCTCCAAGGATTCGAGACTCTAGAAATCTGGATTTAAATCTTAACTTCCACACTTTCTGTCACAATTTATGATCTTACTCAAGCTTTTCCAACTTTTCTGGGCCACAGTGTCCAAATTTTTAAAATAGTGCTTCCTTTTTCTAGTTATTGGGGACTAAGTACTATGACTATAAAATGTCTGATGTAGTCTCAGACTCAATAAATGTTTATTTTGAAATAACATACCCTAGCATCTAATTTAAATATCATTATTATAGTTATATCTTAATGACATTATATTTAAAATATATATAAACAACACTAATATTTAAATTATATAGACATGAAATTATATTTAAATTAAAATGTCTAGATTAATTATATTTACTTTAGATGCTAGAGGATGTTATTATTTTAATGAAATTTTTAATTTCAATTGTGATTTTAATGAAAATTTACAGAAAAGTTAGATTTTCATTCATTCATTGTTGCACATTTTCCCCTCCCCCACTTCACTTCCAGTTTTTTTTCTTCTCAGTCATTCATTATTTCATAATTCCCGCCCCTCCACCCCCCACCCAGTTCACTTTGCAATGCATCTCTTATTCTGGATCATTGTCTTTTGTGAATTTATAAAATATTCAAGCACCACAAGAAGATAAAAGTAAATATCCCAATTGGAAAATGGGCACAGGATATGAACAGACACTTCACCAAAGAAGACATTCAGATGGCCGACAAGCACATGAAGAAATGTTCAAAATCCCTAGCTTTAAGAGAGATGCAAATCAAAACAACTATGAGATATCATCTCACCCCAGTAAGAATAGCAAAATTTAACAGAGCAGCAAACATCAAATGCTGGCAAAGTTGTGGAGAAACTGGAACCCTTGGCGCTTTCTCAAAAAGTTGCAAACAGAAATACCACTTGATGCAGCAATTCTACTACTGCAAATTTACTCTAAAGAAACCATAACTGCCATTCAAGCACATATATGCATACCTATGTTTACTGTGGCTTTGTTCACAATAGCAAAGAGCTGGAAACAACCCAGGTGCCCATCAACAAATGAATGGATAGAGAAGCTCTGGTATACTCCCACAATGGAACACTATGCAGCATTGAAAAACAAGGAACTCATGAAATATTATGCAAAATGGATGGCCCTAGAGGACATTATGCTGAGTGGAATATCTCAGTCACAAAAGGACAAATATTGTATAGGGCCACTGTTGTAAAACGGGATTGACATTGGGGTTGAGGGAAGACAGAGAAGGAGGGGATGAATGATGTATACTGCATTGAAACAGATGAGGGAGAGAACTGTTTAAAAGGAATATATGATTGGGTATTATTGTCATGACAGGAGTCCAGAATGAAGACTGCACAGTGGAGTGGACTTGGGGGGAGGAACTGCATAATAATGAAAGAGTTCTTCTTTTACTTTTCAGGGAGGGGAGTGAATTGGGGGGAGGAGGTGGGTGGGGAGAGGGGTTTGTCAATAAATGAATGGAAACCCTGGGTCTTTGCAGACTTTCATAAAAATTAATAAAAACAAAATAAATTACTTTAGTGAAGGTTGAACACTTTTTGGTGAATTGCTGCATACTTTCTTCCCGGCCCACCACTCCGCCCCAGTTTCGCTTTCCTTTTTGTAAAAAAAAAAAAAAATTAAGAAAGGAACTCATACATTGTTGGTGGGATTGTAAAATGGTACAATCGTTTGGAAGGCAGTTTGGTACTTCCTCAAAAGTTGAACATAGAAATTTCATATGACCCAGCTATCCCACTGCTTGGAACATACCCCGAGAAAAATGAGAACTGAGGCACAAACAGAGCCTTGTACACTATTGTTCATAGCAGTGTTATCCATCATCGCAAGAACATGAAAACAGCCTAGATGTCCAGCCACAATCAAATGGATTGAGAAATTATGGTACAGTCATACAATAGAATACTACACGGCACACAGGAGCAATGATTTTGTAAATTTTTACCTAGCTTGGGAGGGACTGGAGAGCAGTAGACTGAGTGAACTGACTCAGTCCCACAAAGACAAATATGGTATAAAATCATTATTGTAGAATGAGTATGAGGATCCAAGGGGGTGGGTGTATGGTGGAAGCAGAGGGATGAGGATGTGCAGAGCGTGGGGGTGAGTTAATCACGGGCTTGTACAATTTGATGGGTGCTGAGGGAAACTGGAAGAATATGGTCTGAAAAACAGTGTATTAGAGTTTTGTAAATAAACAGGTATAATAAAAAAATTATAAAAAGAAAGAAAAAAGAAAAAAAACCCTTAAACCACCCAGGGTAGAGAAAATAAGTATTTCCATGGGGGTAGGTATAAATGCTAGTTTACCATAAAAGAACCCAAGAAAACTGAGAAGTCAGGGTCAACTTCAGAAAATATATGCTAAGAAATAAAATATTAAATCTTGTTACAATTCGTTTGTTGTTCTTTGCTACTGAATAGTAACTGATTCATAGCTGACCCTTCAGTGAGTTTTCAGAGACGGTAAATTGGATGTTAGGAGACTGCCCATCCTTCCAACAGGTGGATTCGAACTATGTGCCTCCAGGATTCCACTCAGCCACGAGAGCTCCCTTTCTTTTAGTGCATTTGAAAGGCCTTATAAGAGTAAGAATTTGGGATAAACGGCAGCTGTGTTTATGTCTATATCCCGCACCATCCTTTTAGGAACCCTGGAGGCACAGTGGCTAAGATGCGTGGCTGCTAATTTCAAGGTCAGCCATTCAAAACCACCAGCTGCTGTGCTGGAGAAGGATGAGGCAGGCTGCTTCCTCTGCTCTGCCCTGTGAGGTTGCTGTGAGTCAGAAATGATTGATGGCCATAGGTACTTTTTAGGAGCTGTAGTGGAAAAATCATAAAAAGTGCAAATGAAACAACCAACCAACACAAGAAGGCAGGGCCCCTGGATTACCCAGGCTGGCTACTTCTCTCCCTGTCATGGCGACCTCAGGTCATGTGTCCTAAAGGAACTATTTTTAGAAGAATATGGTAACTGAAGACATATTCGCCTCACTTGTAATAAATAAAATGCTAATGGAAACAACAGATCAATTCTCATTGCTCAGATCGGTCAGCGTAAGAAAGTCCGTGAGGACTCACCGCTGGGCAGACATCCTACTGTACGTTTGGGAGGATGTGAATTAGTATAGTGTTTTTGGAGGATGACTCTGGCAACATGTACCAAAATAAACAACCATGATCTTTAACAGCTCCATCCTGAAAACGTATCTCAAGATGGCAATAATGAATATTTACAAAGATGTATGTTGTAAGTTCAAACTTGCAGCTACTTAAATATTCAACCACAGAGAATAAGTAAATGAATTATGGTTCATTTATCAGCAGGATATAATGTAGCCATTTCATGCATTAACAGATGTTGACTATTTCTGAATAGGCAGTAACTATGTCTTCATTATATGCAGGTTATTAAAAGTATATATAGTTCATGGCAGAATGATTTTTCCTACTAAAGAAATAAAGACCCAAATCACTAAAAACCACCTTATTAATGAGTGAATGAATACATGAAATACTCAGCACTGAAAAGAGTGCCTTTTATGAGAGTTGTGTGATCTCCTCAGTGCCACGCTGGTCCACCCTACATCTCAGCTGCTGTCACGTTCTCTCCAAGTGGGCAGAGTTGGACCGCTGTGTGGGGCGTCTCGGCTGTAACTAGCAGATGAAACACCGACATGCGGTTATGCTGGGTTGCGCCCTGTCTCTTTGGAAGCGACTGCCTCCTGGCTGACCGTGCAGTGGGTTTTCAGAGGCAGAAAACCGCAGGGAGGACACTGCCCATCCTTCTCCCGTGGAGTAGCTGGGGGATTCGAACCACTTGCTTTTGGGTTGGCAGTATACCTCCTTACTACTACATCACCAGAGCCTTAATCTTTGTTGGCAGCTTTATTTTATTTTTTTAATTAATATTTTAATGAAAGATTATAGAGAACTTGGATTTCCATTCATTCACTGTCGCTCACTTTCCTCCTTCCACCCCTCTCTCCCAGTTCACTTTTCTCTTTGAAAATAATAATAATAATAAAAAAAAATTCCTCCATTGTTATACAACACCCCCGCCCAGTCCACTTTACTATGCAGTTCTTATTCTGGACTCTTGTCATGCAACTAGTACTTAATTATATATCCCTTTCAAACAGTTTTCTCCCTCATCTGTTTCAATGCTGAGTTCATTGTTTATCCCCTCTTTTCTTACGTTTTCCCCCAAACCCAATGTCAGTCCTGTTTTATAACAGTGGCATTTTGCAGTATTTGTCTTTTTGTGAATGAGATGTTTCACTCAGCATAAGGTCCTCCAGGGTCACCCGTTTTGTACAATATTTCATGAGTTCCTCGTGGCAGCTTTATTTTTAAAGTTCTTTTCTAACTTACCCATTTGGAAAGAAAACTATGTATGCTCACAAAATATGTATTACTCCGAACTGTCAACTCAAGTTCTGACATTTTGGTCTTGTCAGTGAATTTCAATAGAAAAACAACAGATACATTCTTATACAAGTTAAAAGCAACAAATTCTTATTAATTCCTTCCCTAACACACCTGAGCTCTCTCACCCTACTTCATCTAGTAGAAGCAGCACTTGTATTTAAGGAAGACCCATTTAAAAAAGCATCCTAAGGGTTATTCATAACACCCAGATGAAAACTTACCTTTCTGACTTCTTTACTTGATCTGAATGTCTGCTGAACAAAAGAATCACTTTCAATAGCTTCAATTTCTTTTACTCTTTTCACTTGTTCTACCAGGGTGGCTTGATCTAAAGAAAGCAGGTAAAATGTCAGTGTATTTTGGGGTAAGCTTGTTAACAACATTGTATCTAAATAGTTTTCTTTCTGTCTAAGGAAAAACTTAACTATTTGTAAAACTTGATGACAAGAAACATACTTAAACTGTAACAAAGAAACGCCCACTAAACTCTGTAAAGATAACATTTCTACAAACTAAGAAGCTCATCAGGAGTCAGTGCTCCAACAATTTCACTTCGCTAATCTCAGATAATCTGGTGGGCAGAGCTTTTTTTTTTTAAAAAAAAATATTTTAAATTATTGAAATACATATAGAAAGAGTAAGAGAACAATGACCCCATCCTTGAATCCCACCCCCCTTTCTGTAATCACTCACTTTCGACTATTTTGATTTAACTTAGCCTCTCATTTTCTTAAGGGAGTGGGGGTGGGCTGTACCTGGACTATTTAAAAGTAAATTCTAGATATCATACTCCTAAATCTCTTAGCACACGTTTCCAATAAAGGCTTTAAAGAATCAGCTATGATATCATTTTCACACCCAACAAGATCATGAAGAACTCACTGATAGACTTTTATAATCCAGGTTAATTCTGTTAGACTATGTAAAAAAATGTTTTGTATAGGTGTTCTGGATGAATCTAGATCCAAACAAGATCCACACATTGAAGCTGGTTGTTAAATCTGTTACAGCCTCATGCAGTTCACTGCCCATTTTGTTCTGATTTCAATCACATTTAACCTGTAAAACATTCCACGTTCTAGACTGGAATAACATGGACTGACATTCTGGAATGACTGACTGTTCTCGTGTCACTTCACTTGTTGCTCCATTGCTGCTGTCACGTGTCACAGTGACCCTATGGACAGTAGCTATGAACCCTGCACTGTACTAAGCTAATCTCACTGTCTCTGACACACCTACCCCCATACTGCCTGATACTGGGTCAACTCATCTCATCCAGGGTCTTCCTCTCCTGTGCTGTCCCTCTACCCTTCCAAGCATGATGGACTTGCCCCTCCTGGAAACATGCCCAAAGTATGTGAGACGGAGCTTCAGAATCCTTGACTATATGGAACAACCTGGTTTCATCTTCTCTAGGACAGACCAGCTTTAGCTCCCTCTATTTTGTTAAACTAGAGTCTTGAATAGATGCAAAGCTGTCCAAAACCTAGTAACCATATCAGGATGTGCATTATTCTTTTAGTGACACCAGGCTTAATCAATGGTCTACCATGATGTTAGCCTGATCCTTTCATTATTAAGTTCTCTATTGGCCTTCTACTTAATGGCTTCAGCAGATAGTGATGTTTGTTGCTCATTAAAAAATCCATTAATTTACTAAGGGAAAAACTAACCTGAAAAAACAAAACAAAACAAAACCCCACAAACTCATTGCCATCATTTTGGAACCAGCTCATATAGCTGACTCCCCTGCAAGTCTATGGAGGCTGTAAATCACAGAGGAGATTGCCTATCTTTCTCTTTCAGAGCCTCTGGTGGATTCGAACTGCCAGCTGGCCTGCCTTTGGGTTAGAGGCACAACTTTCTATGGACTACTTCACCAGGGCTCATATTTGTTGTTGCTGTTGTGCACTATTGAGTCAACATCCAGCTAGAGTGACCTTCCAGTGAATTTTCAGAGGGAGTAAACAGCAAGGTAGCAGATTGGCCATTCTTATCCTGTGGAACATCAGGTGGATTTGAACCATGTGTCTTTGGGACTGCAGAACATCTTTTACCAGCAGGCCACCAGAGCTCCCTCTGGTTCATCTCTTTCTCTTATTTCACTAGAGTTAAGAAATGGTGATTTTCTAAGCATATTCTTCTTGCATTCGTTAGCTAAGAATCCTCCGTAATGAAAACCTTTCCTTCATTGGGTATTTGCTGCCCAGCGGTGTCCAGTCATGTTGTCTCACAAAGCCCGATCTCGCCCAGTGCTGCGCCATCCTCAGTCCCCTCTGCTGTGCGCAGGACCCACTGTGGCACTATTTACTAATGGAAGGGAAATCTCTACAGGATAACGGTGAGTTAAAGATGGCAGTTCTAAGTTTGTGAGTATTTATGTATTTATTTCAGTCCACGGTAGTCGTTTTCATATTCTGATGTTCGGATTATCTTGGGTGAGTGAGAATAACCCCCCACTGGCCGTGCCTCCTTTGGCTGTGACCTGTAGCAGGTTGAGAGACGTTTCACATCCGTCTTGTATAGCAGCTCACTGTTAGTAGGATGACATCACTTCCGAACTTTTTCAGAAGAGGAAAAGAAATACAAGGTCACAATGACATAAGTAACTAAATTAAAGATTCAAGGACTTTTATTTGATGCCTTTAATTCTTTATTGGTATCTCTCTTTTCTCACTCTAAAAATCTTATGCTTCAATGATCCTATCAAAAGCACTTATTTGCTTTTCCCAACATGAGAGTAGGGGGCTCTGATAGCCTAGTGGGCAAGGTGTGTACTGTCAACCCAAAGGTGTTCGAATTTCCCAGCTGGTGCGCTGTCTTCTTTTTGAGAAATTTGCAGCCTCTGAAACTCACTGGAGAGTCGGCTCTGAGTCACTGTCACTTGGCAATGACCTTGTCTTTGAATATAAGAATATGCATTATTAAAAAATAACACATATATTACTATTAACAAGACAATTTAAAGCAGTTTAAGATATATTTTTTACTTGTGTATGTTTATTATGTTATGTATGTTTTAACTTTAGATATTATCCTACTGTTGAAAAAAACAACAACCACCCAACTCTAACACATCTATGTTGTAAAGTCTTTTAATTTTCCATGTGCTCATATTCTAACTTGACACCAAATTATTTCTAGAGTCTTAGGTCTTGATTAGTTTACTGTTTTTTAACTGAAATTTATTTTCCAATTGTGTAAACCATTAATATGGGCTGGGTGGTGCAGGCAGATGGGAATCAGTTGCTAACCTCAAGGTCAGGGGCCAAAGCCAAAGCCCACCCAGGGGATGCTGCAGAAGAGGGGCCTGGCGAACTGTGCTATAAAGATGGGAGCAAAACACTCCTCCCCCAAAACCCCCAAATTACCTAAAATCCCCACAGACAATGCAATTAGGAAATGACAGAACCAGAGGAAATGAAATAGATAATACCTGAATACTATGAAATGCTATACTCTGATAAAATGCCCAGGAAAAATGCACAAAAAAATTTCTTGAAACTCATGTCCTACCAAGATTGGCTCGGACGATGTAGAACACTTGAACAGACCAGTCACAAAGGAAGAAATTGAACAGCTCATAAAAAGACTCCCCCACAAAAAATGTCTTGGATAAGAGGGCTTCACAGCTGAACTCTACCTAACTTTCAGAGAAGATTTATCACCAATTCTATTTAAATTATTTAAAAAAACAACAACAGAAAAAAGAAGGAACATTCTCAGAGTCATTCTACGAAGCAAGCATAACCAAATATAAACATCAGGCAAAGATATTGTCAACAAAAAACCAATCCTAGAGAGGGTTAAACCAGGCTGCTTCTTGGAGGCAAGGATTCTGGGACTTTGCCTGACATACTTTGGACATGTTGTAAGGAGAGACAGGTCTTTGGAGAGGGACATCATGCTGGGCAGAGTGGAGGGACAGCGCAGGAGGGCAAGACCCTCCATGACGTGGATTGATTCAGTGACTGGGGTAATCGGGATGGATGTGTCAGAGGCAGTGAGATTGGCACAGGATAGAGCAGGGCTTAGGGCTGTTGTACATAGGGTCGCTATGAGTCGCAAGCGATTCGACGGCACATAACAACAACAACAACAAACTACAGACTAATATTGCTCATGAATATAGATGCAAAAATCCTTAACAAAATCCTGGCCAATAGAATCCAACAACTTATTTTTTTTTTTAAATCATCATGACAAAGTGTGATTCCTAACAAGTAGGTATGCTGAATGGCTCAATGCAAGAGAAACAATCAATGTAATTCATCACTTTAAGAAACCAAATAATAAGAACCACATAATCCTAGCAATTGTTGCTGAAAGGCCTTTGACAAAATCCAACACCCTCTTCCTGACTGAAACACTGAGCAAAATAGGAATAGAAAGGCATTTCCTCAACATAGTCAAAAGTATATATGCGTAATCAAGAGCCAATATTATTCTCAATGGGGAAAGACTAAAAGTGTTCTCCTTGCGAACAGGGACCAGACAAGGATGCCCAACGTCACCATTCCTATTCAATATTGTATTGGAAGTACTTGCTAGGGCAGTATGACAAGAGAAGGAAATAAACAGCATCCAGATTGGCAGAGAGATGGTGAAACTGTTGGTATATGCAGATGATATGATAGTATACACAGAAAACCCCAAGGACTCAACAAAAAAAACCTCTTAGAGCTTGTAGGCCAATTTAGTAGAATGGCAGGACCACAAGACCAATACACACAAGTCTGTGGGATTCCTCTACAATAACAAAGAAAACACAGAAAAGAAAAATAAGAAAGCAATACCATTTACAATAGTCAATCACAAATTGAGATACTTACAAATAAACTTAAGACACAAAAGATCTTTACAAAGAAAACTACAAATCACTTCTGTGAGAAAACATAAAAGATCTAAATAAATGGGAAATGTCCTGTCCATGGATAGGAAGACTCAATATAGTTAAAATGACAATCCTCTCAAAAGCAGTCTTTAATGCAATCCCAATATAGATATAAATATATCCCAAAATAGATATTGAATTCATTTTTCAAAGAGATAGAAAAGGCAATTGGTAAGTTTGTTTGGAAAGGACACAGATCTTGAATAAGCAAAGCACTTCTGAAAAACAAGAATAAAGGGGAAGGCATAGCATTTCCTGATCTCAAAACCTATTATACAGTGGCACTATGCAGTATCTGTCCTATGGAACTGACACTGGGGTTGGGGTAAAGCTGAGAAAGACTGGATAAATTATGTATACTGCATTGAAACAGATGAGGGAAAGAACTGTTTGAAAATGATATATGATTGGGTATTATGGTTATCACAAGA